TACTTCTTCAACAAGGTGAGTGGGACGAGGGTAAGGGTGGTGAGCTGAATCTCGGTCTCTTTGGCCCCAATTTTATTTTATTTTTATTTTTGTTTCCTTTGGCCCCAATTTTAACCACTTAGCCTCTTCTCCTCTCCCATGCCTCTGTGTATCTCTGTGTCTTCCTCCCTTAGGCTCAGCAATGAGAAGACACAGGATGCCTAATCCAAGAGCGTTCAGCCCTGGGTCATGACTCTGGTCTCTGAAACCAAATAAATGGACTGAATCAGCACAACCTGTTTCATCCTGGCTGGTCACAGCCTCCCCAGCTCTGTTGGAGGAGCGGGTCTCCTGAGACAGCAGGAGGAGGGGGGCCAGGAGTCCAGTCTCCTGGGCCTGACAAAGGAGGGGCTAGAGGCCCGGAGTCTCTGGTTTGAGACAGGGAGCCCCAAGTTTGAGCTGGGTTTTGAGAGATGAGTAGGAGTCTTTCGGGAGCAGTTAGGAGGAGGGACATTTGTACTCTGGGTGCAAAGGCACAGAGGGAAGGGGCGCCTGGGTGGCTCAGTCAGTTAAGTGTCTGCCTTTGGCTCAGGTCATGATCCCAAGGTATTGGGATCAAATCCCACAGTGGGTTGCCTGCTCAGCAGGGGAGTCTGCTTCTCCTTCTCCCTGTGCCCCTCCCCTCTGCTCGTGCTGTCTCTCTCTCTCAAATAAATAAAATCTTAAAAAATATATATATATATAGAAGGCACAGAGAGAGAGCAGGACTGACTCACCTGGCATCAACACGAACTGCTGTGTACTTCAGCTACATTCCTTCTCTCTGAACCCTGGTTTTCTTCTCATTCAGACAAAGGTGAAAATTTTTGTTCAGTGGGCTCTGGAGGCCACAGCCAGAAAAAGTTGAGACCAAAGACACAAACTGAGTTTGTCAGGTATCATCTTCATTGTTATATTTTGCAACACACCTTTCTCCTTTCTTAGAAAACTTCTACTCAACCTTCAATACCCACTATTAATGCCCCTTCCTATAGAAGTGTCTAGACCTCCAGACAGTCTGTTACCAGCTCCCTCACTAACCTCCTCCTCCCCACTGCCTGCCTTCATCCCCAGCAGACGGAATGCCCTGGGGGACCCTAGCCTTTGGCTGAGCTTCCTCCGCCTTCTTATATGATGAACAATTTCATTTCGACTCAACATCTAAAAGGGCAGCTCCTGAAGAGGGTGACCAAACATCCCGACTTTCTCAGGAAAGGCCTAGCAAATTTCGATTAGGAACGGACTTATAGCCTCACTCAATTTTGCCTCGCGGATTGCAGACACCTTGAGCCAGTTGTTGCAACGTCATTGGTTAATAGCGTCCTCTTTCATTCTCAAAAACGTCCTGATGTAGAGGCTAGTTTTACTTACGGGAAGCCCTGGCTGCAAAACTAAGAGCCACCACACGAGGGCGATGTTGGACCATTTTCCCCAGCCAGAAGTTAGTCCGCCGGGCTCGGGGAGGGAACTTGGCTTGGGCAATCCGGAATTCGGAGACCTTCCTGGCGGGCTCCTAGCAGGGTTTCTCTCTCCCCCGACCTTCGCCTTACTTGCTGTCTCTAACCTCCAGCTCTCACAGAGGTCCTTCTACATCCAGAGCTGACTCTGTCCCTCCCTGCTAGCAGCCTTCCCATGTCCCCCACTTCAGATCGCCCCCCTCCCCCCACAAGAGTCCCAGCCCTTCAGCCGGGCCTTGGAGTTGTGTAGGACCTGACTCCCTCTAGTCTTTTTTCTTTTCTTTTCCTTTCCATCTCACCTACACCCTTCGCACAGCTCCCCCGCACCCCGCCCCAGTATATCCTTAACCACATATAACTCAGAGATAGTAAAAAATGCTATTCCCTTGTGTCTTTGCACATACAAGCTGTGCTTTCCGCCTGGAGTGCCCCTTCCCACCTCCGCTCTGCGTCTGCTTCCTCTAGAAGGCTTCTTAAAACCCCTCCTGCTCCCAGTGTGGCTGCTTGCTCTCCCCTCCCATCCTTGGTGGCCGTGACCAGGGAGCTTGAAAGTGGGGTGCACAGAATAGGATCTGACTCCTAAGGGAACCCCAGCTTGGGATCTTGGGTCTTGGTTGTTAATGCTTGTAGAACAACCAAATACAGACAGAGCAGTCGATCTTTGCATGCCCCCCCTCCCCACCCCCAGGGTTTTCAACCACTTAGTGCTGGGGTTCTGGGTCTCCTGGGAGCTATTAAGGTTGCATTTCTACAACCACAGGCACTTCAGAGGGATGGGGCTCAGCCCGCTGCCCGTGGGGAGCTTTTGAAAGTCCCAGAGCCCAGCTCTATCCTGGACCACTTAAACCACAACGCCTGGGGATGGGGCCTGGACATCGATCGGATTTTAAAAGCTCCCCCTGGAGATTGTGATGTGCAGCCAGGGTCAGAGGTGTCTCTAATGCGTTTTCCCAAGACAAGAAGAGATGAATTTCCCCGCCCACCTTGGAGCTCAGTCCACGGCAGCTCCGTGGATACATCAAAAGACTCAGAACGTGAAGCAAAATTTAACCTTTAGTTTAGCAACATTTGGGAGTTTGAAAACAAGAGAAAGACAAAGTAGTTTGTTCCCAGAGCAGGGCACCGGAAGGTCGATGGGGAGGCCCATTTCCCAGGGCAGCGAGAGAAGACAGGCATGATGATAACCAACGCAGTGCTGAGCCAGAGAAGCGGGTGGCCCAGGGCTGTCCCAGTGTTGCTCTGTTCCACCTGGGGGACCAAGGCGTCCTGGGCTGCATCGAACTTTCCAGTTTGAGCCCCCAGAGCCCTGGATCCCAGGAATCGCTCAGTCCTGGGATTATCAGGCTTGTGGGGGTCACACTCATTCCAAATTCCTCGGCCATGTCCACAGTCCTGCCTTTACATGCAAGCCCACAACCCTCCCTCCGTGGTCTGTCTCCCTGTCCGTCTGTCTCCCCCAAGCGCTCTCCTTCAGGTTGAGGCCGGTGCTATTTTGGTCTTTCGCTAGAGCTCTTCGTGTTCCTGTCTCTCACTGGGTCTTTGTCTCCATATCTTTTTCTGTCTCCTCTTCCACTTGATCCCTCCCGGCAGCCTGACCTGCCTCTCACCTCCCCTCCCAGCTTTGGCTGCCATCTGACGCCCATGTCTACGCAGTCTCATCACGTTTGCACCTGCACGCATCCCCCCGCCTTCCATTTCACCTCATTTCTCAGGGCCTCTGCGTCATCTCCGCCCCCCACCAGGGTCTCTATCCCTCTCTCAGGGTCTCTGTCCCACTTTCTCGGGGTCTTCTGTGTCTCCCTCCCCCCCATCTCTGTCTCCCTCTTCCCTGTCCTCTCTGCATCTCTGTCCCTCTCTCTCCTCCTCTCTCTCTCTGCCTCCCCATTCTCCTATCCATCTCTTGCTGAACCTGCACACCCCATATTTTCCCGGCTTGGAGGAGATAGGACCTCCCCCACCCTCCGCCTTCCCCCATACTGTCTCCAACCCCCAGGAATTTCCCTTCAGGTCCTCCCAGGATGGCTGGACCTCTCACCCATGTCCTCCTCAGACACTCTCCCTCGGCTCTGCCAAGGGCCTGGCATAGCCTGGAGGCCTGGTCCCCGGGTGTGTAACGCATAGGGTTGAAGCACCCACTACCCACTCTCCCCTCCCCCACCCAGGGTGAGCTCCAGTGGTCTGAGCAGCACCCACATTTCCACCATGTCTGGCCTGGGATCCCCTATCCCCACCAGCCCCAGCAGAAGCAGCAGGGTAGTAAAGCCACAGATGAAATTAAGCCTGTTTGTCAAAATGGGGAGAGGATCCTGGATTATCTGGGGGTGGGGGGGCATATAGTCACTAGGAAGTAGGAGAGGGAGGCAGAAGAGCGAGGGACCCAGAGACCAACCCTGCTGGTTCTGAAGATGGACCAAGGTCCACGAGCCACAAAACAGGGCAATTTCAGAAACTAGAGAAGGAAAGGAAATGGACTCTCCTCTTGAACCCAGTGACTCCCTCAATTTAGGGCCCCCAGAACTGCAGGATAGATTCATGTGGTTTTAAGCCTTTATGTTTATAGATATTGGTTACAGCAGCCATTAGAAATGAATACACCCATTTCATAGACCAGCAAATGGAGGTGCTCTGAAGGTCACACAGTTTGAAAGTCAGTAAGTTTGCCTCTGAGGACAGGAGTACGGAGTTGAGGGCAGGCAGCCAGTAGAGGGGTTCTAGACCCAGGATGGCCACAGGGGAGGCCTGGAGGGCGTGGCAGGCTGTGGGAAATGGAGAGGTTAGTCTCCCCTACTCTGCCAGACTGGAAGGAAATGAGGCAAGGGAGGGTGTCCTGGATTAGAGCCCACTACTAGCCCCTCCCTCCGTCATACTCTCTTCTCCATCTCTATGGCCTGGCCCCCACTCAGGTCTTCTCCTCTCCCCCAGGACCCCCATGCTCACTTTCTCCTGGCCTCTTTCTGTCCCCCAGGGGACCCCAGAGGGACTCCTCTACATTCAGGGTTGACTCTAACCCTTCTCTGCTCACATACCTCCCATGGCTCCCTAGTGCCCCTCAGCCTGGCCTTCCAACAGACCCCATCAAAGCTTCAACTCCATCTCTCAAGCCCACCCCCTCCACCCCTTACACCTGGTTCCTGCTTTGTCACAGCTATAACCAACTTGATAGCTCACTGACTATATCCATCTCTGGGGCCAGCCTGCAGCCTCTTTGAGATCAGGGTCCTGGGATGACTCCTCTGGGGTCCCCAGCATCACCCACCACTGGAGGAGGCACATGGGAAGTCTCTCCATTTTCAAAGAAATGAATAATTCATTACACTGGTCAAGGTCTGGGTCACCACAAGACCCAGAGCGTGGGGCAGCGAATCATTCATGATAGACCACATCTCAGGAGCGAGGGACACAGAAGCGAATGAAACAGACAAAGGGGTAAGGCTGTCACCTTGCCCCCCCTCTTCATTTGATTCTGCAGGGACAAGAATGAGAACCAGGAGACCCATAGCACAGCTGGTCGTGTGTGTCGGGAAGGGCCTCTGGACTCCCGCCACAGTGCTGAGTTTGAACCCGGACCCTGACATCCTAACCCTGACTGGGACCCTGAGCGGTTCAGTCTCTCTACCCCAGCAGGGGTGCGTGAGGATTAGGAAGCATTCTGTGCTCAGTCAACAGGAACAGAAACTACGGCTTTGTTGCCGCTGAGGAAGGAGGGCTTCAGGTGCTGGGAAGGGAAAGGTGTCAAGTGTCAGGGGGTGAGGAGTCTCATGACAGCTATTTTCCGACATTTGATGACAGTCTGTCTGTCTCCCACGGCTAGGAACATCTCAAACCAGGCCAGATTGGGGGCGCCGCCTCCCCTCTCTCCTTGCTGAGAGAAACAGAGGTAGTGATTAAGAGCGAGTAATTGCTTCCCTCCTGCCAGGGAGGTAAATATCTTTCTGCAGGATTTTGCTGTTCAGGACTGTCTTCCCTAGGCTGTGAGCTCCGTGAGGGCAGAGGCCCTCTTCTGGTCAGGGATTCCAGAGGATGGCAGAGATTTGCGCCGTGGGCTCCGTCAATACTTGAAGGGACAGACTATTGTGAGGAGGAGGCTGTAGGCTCTGAAAGATAGGGGTTGTTGGCCCCTCCCCTTGGGACATAAGCTCCTCCCCCAGAATGTCAGCCCCTCCCCTTGGGGTATCAGTCCCTCCCCTGAGATGTCAACCCCTCCCCTGGGATGTTACCTCTTCACCCAGAATGTCACCTCTTCTCCAGGGCTGTTGAACCCTCCCCCAGAATATCAACCCCTCCTCCTGGGGTGTCAGCCCCTCCCTGTACTATGTAAACCCTCCCTCAAAATGTCAGCCCCTGGGGCACCTGGGTGGCTCAGCTGGTTGGGCCTCTGCCTTCGGCTTGGGTCATGATCTCAGGGTCCTGGGATCAAGCCCCGCATCAGGGTCTCTGCTCGGCAGGGAGCTTGCTTCCCCCTCCCTCTCTGCCTGCCTCTCTGCCTACTTGTGATCTCTCTCTCTGTCAAATAAATAAATAAAATCTTAAAAAAAAAAAAGTCAGCCCCTCCCCCTGGGATGTTAGCTCCTCCCCCAGAATGTTAACCCCTCCCACTGGCATGTCAGTTCCTCCTGTTGGAATGTTAGCCCCTCCCCCTCAAATGTCAAGCCCTCTCCCTTGAATGTCCCTCTCCAAAGTAGGGATCCTTGTCTCCTTCACCTCTCTGTCTCTAGAGCGCAGAACTATAACGTTCAGCTCACCGGTTCTCAACAATCATGACTGAATGGATTAGTGGGGTCAGTCTTTTCAAGGCCCAACTACCATTTACTCGCTCTGTGACCACTGGTAAGTGGCTTTACCTCTCTGACCCTCCAGCTTCCTCGACTGTAGACTAGGCATAATCGCAATATCACTCTGGTAGGGTCGAGATGCCGATTTTGGGTGTCTGTATGGTTATAGAGCGCTGGACAGGGCCTGGAGCACTGGTCACCATCAGTGCCGGCGAACTGCCTTTATCTGGGTGAATGAAGCTGTGATCACTTTCTTGGATTCTCATAGAAATTTTATTAAAGAGAGATTTTCAGTCCCTAAAATCCGAGGCTTAGGGCATCCTCCACAAGCCTCTCCCATGGAGGCTGCCCAAGGAAAGCTGATTCCTTCCCTTGGCCATGCCAAGAAGCAGTGCTCCCTCTGGGTCTCAATCCCACCTTACCAACTATGTGGGGCTCTTCCCAACCAAAGACCACCATCTCCCTGAGGAGGATCCTCAAATGCCTCTAAAACCAGAGTCTTCTGAAAGACTACTTAACCACATTCATTAGAAAATCAATACAAATTTAAAACTTCACAGGGATCCCACCGGTCTCCTGGGGTGTGTGGGAGGGGAAGGTGGAAGATGGTGACATCCTGGTCACTCTGATGAAGCACAGGAAATGCCCAGCTGGGTGTCCTATGGCAACATGTCCTATGCAACATGCCACACGTCCTCTGGCCTGGACAGTCCCCCAGGAAGAATAAAGACAAGGAGAAAAATCTTTCTTTTTTGTTGCTGCTTAAGATTTTATTTTATTTTATTTTTAAGATTTATTTCTTTAAGAGAGAGAGCAAGAGAGGAAGCACATGAGCCGGACCAGGGAGGGCGGTACAGGGGGAGAGGGAGAGAGCAACTTTAGCAGACTCTGTGCTGAGCATGGAACCTGATGCAGGGCTGGGTCCCAGGACCCTGAGATCATGACCTGACCCAAAACTAAGAGTCTGCACTTAACCGACTGAGTCACCCAGATGCCCCAAGATTTTTTTTTTAAGATTTTATTCATTTATTTGACAGACTGATCACAAGTAGGCAGAGGGCAGGCGGAGAGAGAGAGAGGAGGAAGCAGGCTCCCCGCTGAGCGGAGAGCCCATGCGGGGCTTGATCCCAGGATCCTGGAATCATGATCCGAGCTGAAGGCAGAGGCTTTAACCAACTGAGGTACCCAGGCACCCCCAAGATTTTATTTTTTTAAAACCAATGTGGGGCTTGAACTCACAACCCCGAGATCAAGAGTCATGTGCTCTACCCACTCAGCCAGCCAGACACCCCTCAAAGTGCTCAAAGAATAGCAGTGGCAACCAAGAATCTTATACCTAGCAAAGCTATCTCTCAAAAGTAAAGGTAAAATAAAGACATTCCTAGATAAACAAAAACTGAGAGAATCTGTGGCTAGCAGACCTGCCTTACAAGAACTACTAAAGGAAGTTCTTCAGGCAGAAGGCAAAGTAATTATAGATGGTAAGGCAAATCCATAGGGAAAACTAGTTAAGGTAACTAAGTTATTTTATTTTATTTCATTTTCTAAGGATTTTATTTTTAGTAACCTCTACACCCAACATGAGGCTCAAACTCACAAGCCTGAGATCCACAGTCACAGTCTCCACCAACTGAGCCAGCCAGATGCCCTGGTAATTATGTAATTTTAAAAGACACTATTAATGCACAGTTTTTCTCCATTATTCTCTTAACTGATTTTGAAATCAATTGTATAAAATAATATGCAAAATAACGTATCATTGGCCTATAACATGCAGAGATGTAAAATATTTTCCAATATCAACACAAAGGAGGTGGTAGAGGAAAGCTAAGGAAATAACTATGGATGGTAAAGTAGTAATAATAATTATTGTTGGGTTTGTAATATTAATATGTAATGACAATAATACCACAGGAAGAGAGAAAAGAGAATAGAGCTCCATAGGAGTTCCAATTCTCTATCTCACTGGAATTAAGCTAGTATAAATAAGAACCTGATTCCGATCAGTTAAAATGTAAGCCCCAAAGCAACGACAAAAAAAAAAAAAACAAACAAACAAACAGGGGCACCTGGGTGGCTCAGTGGGTTAAGCCTCTGCCTTCAGCTCAGGTCATGATCCCAGAGTCCTGGGATCAAGCCCCACATCGGGCTCTCTGCTCAGCAGGGAGCCTGCTTCCCCCTTTCTCTGCCTGCCTCTCTGCCTACTTGTGATCTCTGTCTGTCAAATAAATAAATAAATAAAATCTTTATAAAAAAGAAAAGATACAGGTTTGGTGTTTGTTTGTTTGTCTGTTTGTGATGGTGAAATGCTCTCAAATTGACCAGGATGATGGTTGCTCGTATCTGTATGTACCAAGAGCCGATGAACTGTCCACTTTAGTTGTATGAATTATATGGTATGTGAATCTCAATAAAAGTTTAAAATAATCCAAGTAGAAATTTGTTTACAACTATATTAGATCTATGACTTTTTGGTGAGGTATTAACATCTGTATAATATTTAATCACTCAACCAAGAGCATAGAGTGTCTTTACTTTTATTCCAATCATCTTTGGGTCCTTAATTAGAGTTTGGGGTACCTGGGTGGCTCAGTCAGTTAAGCATCTGCCTTCCGCTGAGGCAGGGTCCTGGGATGCAGCCCTGTGTTGGACTCCTTGCTCAGTGGGGACTCTGCATCTGCCTCTCCCCCAGTTCATACTCTCTCTCTCTTAAATAAATAAAATCTTTAAAAAAAATAAAGTTTTCTCTCCCCAAATCTTAATTTTTTTAATGTGTTAGTTCCCAGATGATTTCAAGGTATTTCAGAGGGATGGTGAATGGGTTTTTTTTTAATATTTTATTTATTTATTTGACAGACAGAGATCACAAGCAGGCAGAGACCCAGGCAGAAAGAGGGGGAAGCAGGCTCCCTGCTGAGCAGAGAGCCCGATGTGGGGCTTGATCCCAGGACCCTGGGATCATGAGCTGAGCCAAAGGCAGACCCTTTAACCCACTGAGCCACCCAAGCGCCCCGATGAATGGTATTTTTAATTACATTTCATGGTTGTCTATTGTCGGTGTAAAGAAATGGAACTGATTTTTGTAGGTTAATCTTGGGGGTTTTTTTGTTTGACTTTTTAAAGATTTTTTATTTTTTTTAAGTAATCTCTACACCCAACGTGAGGCTCAAACTCACAGCTCCGAGAGATCAAGAGTTTCAGGATCCATGACTAAGCCAGCCAGACACCCCTCTAGGTTAATCTTGTAATTCAGGACCTTGCTGATATCTCTTACTTGTTCCTACAGCTTTTTAAATAAACCATTAACCAGGATTTATATACAGTACTGTGTTAAGCAACAGCCATGATGAGAATATCCTAATATCATTCTTGCTCTTGGAAGGAAGCCATCCAAAATTTTTATGGTGTTTGCTGGAAGCTTTAAAAGGTTAAGAAAATATCCTCCCCCCCCCCAAGTTTACTGTTTTAATTTTCACTCATAAATAGATATAAAACCTTACCAAATTATTTCTCCATGTTGACTGAAATCATTACATTTTCCTCCTTGGTCTGTTAGTGAATTACACTAAAAGAATTTTTTTTTTTAATTTTGAACGACCCTTGCTAACTAGCGATAAATCCTACCCCATCGTGATGAATTACAATACAGTGTTGGATTTAGTAGGCTATTATGAGATGTAGGATTTTTGCACCCACATTCACAAATTAAATTGACCTATAATTTTCTTTTCTTGTACATGTTCCTTATCTGGTTTTAGAATCAGCGTTGCATTAGCTTCCAAAAATGAACCAGACAGATTCTACATGATTTCTATTTTCTGGAATAATGTGTATAACATAAAAATTAAGCATTTCTTGAATATTTGATATCAGTCGCCTAGAAGACCATCTGTGCCCCTGGAGATTTTCTGAGAGAGAGATAGAGAGAGAGAGAATGGAAATCTTTGACTCTAACTTTGTATATTTTAGTAGTTACTGATTTACTCAAGTTCTTGATTTTTGCATAATTTTGGGCATTTTATATTTTTCTAATGATTTAACCATTTTATCTACATTTTTAGATGCTGGCCCATAGTTGGTTACAGTACTA